TTGTTTCCAATGTAAAAAGAGGGAAAAGGGATTATATCTGTTCAGATGTCTACCTAACCGTTCTGTAAACTTAACACGAGTTGATAGTCAATGTTCTGCAAGGTCCTTTTATTCTTAAGTGATTTCACAGCTGTTTGAGGATCCGGTGTTGTGAGAACTTCCTTGCTTTGCCRCGAAGCATTTCAGAGTTACCAGCGACAGAGCTTTGGGGCCTCCCGAAAATATAATGTCCGTGCCACTAGCAAAGACAAAAATCTGAGGAGAGGCAAAGAAGGAAATAGTGAGGCTCAGGCAGTGGAACTGAGAAGGAAGTAATGCAATGGAGTTTCCTCTCCTAAATGCAGAGCAGGGATGGAGAAGGGCAGGTTTCTTGTTTGTTGGATTATAGAAGACATCTCCAGCCCCGTCTTTTTCCTTGATTTCTACTGCCCATGGAATGCCCTTGTGACCAGCTTACAAATTTCTCTCTGTGTTTTAAAAATGTTTAATGTACGTTAGTGGTTATCAAATGAAAGTTTGAGGAAGTTTAGCTATTTGAATCCCTGTGCACTTCTCAGGTAACATCCTTTCTGTGTCCCAGCCCCAGGCCCGGTGAGATGTGGTGAAAACGGTCTCAGCAGAAGGGCAGCTTAGGTGGCTGTCAGGGCATGGGAGGGAAGGTGTCCTGGGAGCCCTGGGATGGTGGTGGTTTTGCTCATGAACCCAAGCACTGCTGGGTCATTCAGACAGTTGATCTAATGCTAAAAGTCTCTTTTCTTTTTTCTTCCCCACCAAAATACAAAATTCACTAACTTTCACCTAAACAAAAGGTATACTACTCCTGAGAAGAGCATGCTCTGGGTGGTTACTAATTGACACTTAGAATTAATTAGTTGGGTTTTCTGTCTGTCTGTCTTTCCTAGGTGCTGTGCATTTGCTACTGCTTTGTTAGCTTTGTCAGCAGTGGGACAAGTGGTGACCACTCAGCTTCACATCCCACCGGTCGTGTTCCCGTAGCCTCCAGCACTGACCTTGGGTGCAGCAGAGCAGCCAGCTGAGCAGCTTTATTTCTCCCTTCCTCTCATCAAGAATGGGTTGGATCTCAATAGGGCATCGCTGGTGCTGGCTGCCTTTTGGTCAGTCCTGTACTGGAGCTGTTGGAGAATGCAAACACGGGATTATCAGCTCATGGGTTTGTAACACCGGCTACAAAGGCACCAGGGAGCCATCCTGAGGATTTTAAGGTATGTGTTCAGAAGCTGTATTAATTTTTTCTCTAGGTTTCTGAATCCCCTGTGGTTTCATTTTAAAGSTTGTCAGTCTATTCCTATATAAAGAAATGATTTCCCACTTAATTTGTGACAGCTTTTTGATGCATATCTAAAATTTTGTTGATAAGATGAAACATTGTCGTTTGGAGTGTATGTGTCACCCTTAATTACTGTTCAGATTCAGCATCGTGCTGTGACTTGTTCCATATCGCTCTCCTGGAATTTCAGACATGTGGTGGTTTCAGACACCGCAAAGGTGAGGCCGGCCCTGAAACGTCTAAGCTAATATTAAAACTGCCAAGGCTAGCTGTATAAATCATAGTAGAACTATTCATTTTTACATTTTTATGGTTATGAAATAAGTTCTTCCACTGGTGTATCCCCAGTTTTCAGGCTTTCCCTTACCTAGGAAGGTGTGTGGCGAGTTTGGGCAAGGAAAATGAGGAGCGTGCAGAACGTGCAGCCAGCTCCAGAGCGCTGCTCTCTGCCGAGAGCCACCGGTGTCCCCTCAATGACCAGCAGGAATTAGTGCCACACGTGCTGCTGCTTGGAGCTGTGCTTCAGTGACCGGCGTAAAAGGAGACCCTGACGTGTTGAGAAGATTTTTACCTGCTCCTGTGGAGAGACAGAGGGTGGGTGTGGAAGTGCCTGTGCCCTGCCCTGTGCGCCGGTGCGGCCCCGTGCGCCTTGTTCCACACCGTCGGTGGCAGTTTGCTTGCCCAGGTAGCCTTTGCTGGTCACATTTGCCCTGGTAACTTGCTGCCTGGAAAGGACACGATCATCGTGCAGGAGAATGGCGGGGAGCAACCTTGGACACGTCTTCCTTGGGCAGATTTACGTAATCTGATGTGAGTAAGGAGTAGGAACAGCTCCTAAAAGTTACTGCTAAGTAGTAGGGAGAAGATGAGAACCGGGATCTGATGGTCCTAACATTATTTCTAAACTCAAGTCCCCCTGCCCTGTTATTTTTGCACTTGCCTGTGGATGGCTGGGCCTTGCTCCTGCTCTTCAGCGACTGTAAGTTCTGCTCTTAACTTTGCTAGGCTCAAGAGCAGCTTCTGTATTTCAAAYAGTAAAGCATTGTGCAACTATTTTAATATACTTGTGTAAATGTAATTAGATCAGGATGAGCAGCATTTTCCTTTCCTCCGGGAGTGATGTACAATGTCTTGATTGGAAGGGAGACAGATTGAACCTGATTGAATCATTAAATGGAAATATAAGACAATGAACATTAGCCACTTAGCTCTTTTCATAACTTCTAATAATTAAAACTGTATGTGCAATAATAATGGCTATTCCCGATATCCAAGTAAAGAAAAATGCACCGTTGATCACTTGTGGCATCGGCATAATGAAAACGTGTAGCTAATGGAGGATCTGTGTAGTAAGAGTGACCACAGAGAACCTCCATTTGGAAATATATAAACATGTTCCCCAACAGAATTTCTCTGCATCACAATTCATTAGGAGAATTGGAAATAACTGACAAGATAGGCACAAAATGGATTTTCATGTTGCTGGGATGAATTATGGCTCCCAGCAATTAATGGTTTTAGTCATATTAAGCAGATAAATAATGCTATCTGACATTACAGTATTTCACATTACACTAAAATTTTGTAGCATTTGCTGATAATATGACTTGAAATATGTTACCTAGAAAAAAATGTTCTCTCTGGAACAGTCAAACTCCATTAGAAACCTTAGGCTTGAAAAATCACAATGTTAACAGTTATATCCCCTAGCAAAGGTTTGCTTTCCTTAAATAGTGTTAAATTTAAACCCAGAAGCTCTAGTCTGTTCTGGAGTTGCTCTTCCTTAGTGCATTGTGCTTGAAAGGAGAATTTAGAGCAGAAAACGTACTCTRCGTTACCAAATATTGGTGAGCGGACGCTGAAGAGCTGGAGGAGGAGGAGGATGATAGCCCTTACACTGAAATGCCATCCAGGAAAACGCGTGTTCTCTAAATAATGCTTTTATAGTTCGCTTTATAAAAACGTTCTTAATACGACCCCATTACGCTGACAATGGTTGATCCTTTTTTTTTTTTTAGTCACATCTTAATTGTCATTTTTTTTTCTTTTTCAAAACTGAGCATAGCAAAATCTATTTAATTATTGTTGGAAAAAAATGCTGTAAAATATCATGGTTCTAAATTGCCATTTCCTGCTTGCATGAGTAGCTCCTGATTTCAGCTGCGTTACTCATGTAAGTGTAGTTTTCTCCTGGAAAACGCGCTGTGTGCTGCGAGCATTAATGAATTGAGATCTAACAGAGGACCRTGATTTTTCTCTCCTTTGACACTAATTCTGTTCCACACTCCCCGAGCACCGTGGAGGGACACGTGCTTGCTTGTCAAAGCCAACGTGCCGGCTTGCGTCGGGCTGCAGCGCGGGGGATTTGGAGGTGTCGCGTTTGGCTCAAGGCAGCGCTGCTCAGCGCCTCGGCACCCAACTCGCGCTGCGTTTCCACCAGAGTTAGGCAACAACCTTCCCTTGGGCGCAGCGCAAAGCCTGGCCCCCGCCCCCAGCCTGAGCTGCCTTCCCTCGCAGCGAGCCGGCTTTGCTCGGAGGTCTTTTAAGGTATTGTTCCTGAAACAGCGGGACACAATCCAGCTGCAGAGAGGACATGGCGCTGCTCTTCCGAAGCTGTAAAACTGTCAAGTGTTAGTATGAAAGGAATACAAAAACCAAAATCAAGATTACATTAATATATCCTTCCAAATCCAAATAGAAAACTAAACAGAGAGCGTTCTGCATGTGCCAAGATACAATTTTATTGCTTCTAAGATAACACTGCATTTAAGCATTACTTTGCCTTGAGGGTACTGGAAGAGCAACAGCAGTTTGCTTATGGCTTGTGACGTTTGTCCTACTGTGTGTTAGTGGAGGAGGTAGGGACTTTGAGAAGACATTGCTGCCAATGTCATAAGAAGTGCACACCAAAAGCTTAATAATAGTGCTAGCAAGAACATGAAATCTCTGCCAGACTCTGTGATCTAGAGTTTAGATTAGCTTCAGTTGAAAGAAATTAAATACCTGTAGTTCCTATGTGATCTTATAAAAATAACACTGTTTATGGAGGCTACAGTTCTGCATTGTCTCGTGGTGCTTTTCCCAAATTTGTTTCTTAAAGGCCAGAACTACATCCCAATCTCCCTGAATGGCTCCGTGCCTGCTGGGGTAGGAAGTCCTCGGGCACTTCCAGSTGGAGCGTCTCCTGGGCTCCCTCCCCACCATCTGGAGCACTTTGGGATCAAATCTACTAGGATGAGTGGTAACTAACACAGGGGTAACAGTGATAGCAGCTGTGTATGCTGGACTTCTTGTTTTGGTTTGGGGATTTTTTTGGTTGAAGCAAAGCAGGAAGAAACGGTCTATGCCGTGTGACCAGCTGCAGTTCCTAGAGAGCAGCCAGTCTAGCGGAGCTGCCAATGATCCAGCACTTTGGGAACTCCTGCCCTTAAAGGTTTGCTTCTGCTTTCACAGCTCCTCTCTGTGCTAGCCTGTATTAGTGTTACTGCCCCTTCATAGTATCAAAAAGGCAGTAATGGTTTTATTGTGCTTGTTGAAAACCAGTACATGTAAAAACAACCAAACTCTTCTAGGTTGCATATAKATATGCATTTTTTATATATATAAAAAAATACATGTAATAGCTCACATCAAACAGTTTAAAAAAAAAAGGCACTTGTGCAGAGAGAAAGGAAAGCTTTCCCTTTCCTTTGGAAAGAAAGCTGTCTCCCCACAGTTGCTTCAATAACACGCACTTATATACATACAAAACCAGAACTTCAGCCACATGATCTGTCCCCTTATGCGGCGTGGAAGGCAGAGGGCCCAGAGGGCTGAGGGCTGATATGTCTCGTTCTTTCTCCATCACAGAACTGCTGCCATTCACAYTACGTGAGTAAGAGCCGGGTTTGGGTAAAGTGCAAAAAGCGTGAGGTAAATCATGCTCCATGCGGCATAATTCCTCGCCGGAAACGGCGTAACGACAGCCCCCAACCAAGTGCGTGTTGCCCTGTTGTTGGAAGGAGCCGCTGGCACCGGGAGCTCCGTGCTGCTCCCTGGGGTGCTGGCACGGACAGTCCCTGCATCGCGGGGGCTCGTGGTGCACTTCCAGCTGGGAAGCACAGGGCTGCTTCAGCCCCCCCTCCAGCACCTCCGGCCCAGAGACACAAAAATGCCATGTGGAGAAAAAGGCTCTGGATCTTGTTGTAGCAAGTCTTTATAAAGGGGGTGAAACTATAATTCTTATTATATGATGTTAAAGAAAGAGGAGTAAGCAGCCTATTTAAAGAGGAAGCTTCTTTCTCATTCTAGCTGTATTTCACTCTGTTAAAATGGGTATTTAMGAAAATGTTTCACTACTAAAGGTCACCGGATTACATTTTAGAAGTGCATTTCCCAATTCTGGCGTTCATCTATTAAGGAATATTACCTGTCCCACTCCAAGTAAAAAATATAAGATAATAGCAATAATATAGTGTTTAACAATATGAAGAGAGTAAAAGGCTATTTCTATGCAGTTTCTGAGGTAATAAGCTGGTATGTTAAAAAATAGATTGATACAAGTCAGTTGTGAAGGTATCCCTTGTGTGTCCCAAAGGAGGGGCTGGACATGGGGACTTCCGTTCCGAGGACACAAGGTCTRTGGCAATTGCTTTGTGCGCTGCATCATAGTTCATCATGGTTTCTTGTGAGGTCCTCCCCATAGTTAGTAGCTTGACTGCCAACAAACATATTCCARTTGTCTAGAACCTCCTCTTTTGTTAACTTTTGATCCTGGGGGGAGAAAAACAAAATTGCTGTAAGAAAGTCTTGAAGGCTGAGTAGAGGCATGAYAGATAGAAAATTCTTCAAAGCAGCAGGCTGCAGATTCAGAAAACACCACAGCTGTGATGAGTGAAATCTGGACTCCGGTAAAGTCAAAAGTCCCACTGACTTCATTTGGGTTGAGTTGTTAATTAAAAGTGCTTTGCAAGCAACTCGCTGCCAACCAGAATGTTTAAGTTATGTGGAATGGGTTTTTTTGCCAGTGGTTTTGTTTTGCCTTTCTAACTATGAAAATTGGAAATCCTCTGGTGTTTTTGTTGAAGATGGTCACTTATGCTGGCAAATTTAAGTCTCTCTGCATAAGGGCGACGTGGTGTTTCAGGCTCCAGCTTTGCTCATATTGCAATTCTGGAGATCACCATCTGGGATTTGCTGAACCATTAATCTCCCRTCTTAGAGGAAGCAGATGTACTGGACCAGTCTTTAAGACAAAGATGTGTGTGTTTGATGATATAAATAGTGGCTTTTTACTACCTCCAGTTTAATGTGTATCTGATTTTTCTCTTGCAGTCTAAATTAACATCTAAAGATCCATGACCCCTCTTAAAAGAAGAAAGAGTATTTTTACTATGTTAAAACTTTAAAGTGTATGAAGATAAGGAATTTGTTTCCTAACCTAAGGAAGCCAATGGGACTTCTACAGCTSGTAGGTAACAAATTGCATTTTACCAATTGCACTTTGTAACCATACCAACTAAAAATTGCATTGATACATTAAGGCTCTAGCTAGCACTTATGGCCTTTGAAACTCCATTTAAAGTGTACTAATAAGAAAAGTCACTAAGAATCATCACTTGCTAGTTGAAATTATGCAGAGGAAACCAATTAAATATTTAATTTAACATCTTTTTAAAATATACCAAAGCACTAAGTACCTTGTCTACATCTGATTCATAGACTAAGTGCCTGGCTTCAGCTAGTGCATGATCGTAGTCTTGTGGGAGAATCCAGTGCCGAATCTCCTCTTTGTCCATCTTCCCATCCTTGTTGAGGTCACGGAAATCAGAAAACTGTTCACGCTCTGTAATCACCCAGTCAGGCTCTGGTCCACCCTCTTCATTTGCAAACATGTCAGCTGGAGAGGAAGTAAAGGTCTCAAGTCACACGTAGCTTGCAAGTTATGCAAAACTCAAGAAATTAATACAATCTTCCTCAAAGGAAGACTGAACTTTCACTCTGCACAGAGGTTCTTTGTACAGAAAACAGAAGTGTGGAGTGCTGTGCTGCAGCAGAAGGTATTCCACACACGGAGAGACGGGCACAATTTGTTGTGCACCAGCAGGGCACTCCGCACGAGGAACACACCRCGTGCGCTCGTCACAGCTCGGCCGCGGTGCCGCCGGAGACACGGGATGCAGGGGCTGGGTAGGTGAGCTGCTCTATACGTCAGCCCTGTGCTTATTTAAAAGGCATCAGTGGGAAGTGCAGCAGTGACAGCTGTTATCTGTGTAAGAAAATGAGTGGGGAAATGCCTTATAAAATAGCAGAGAAGAGTTCTGGATTTCTGTGTGCTTGGTTTTTGACTAAACCTCGTTGTTTGGAGTAGGGGAAGTAGGAATATTTTAAGCACAGTTTTTCCTCAACTGATAAAACTTCAAACAACACATTTGCTTTTTTTGTTGTTTTTTAATGTGTAGATTATATTGTTTATCTGAAGCAACTGACACGTCCYGTCAATTTGATTTTTATCATCCTTGCCAATGTGGGGTGATCGTGACTAGAACATTCTTTGTGCCTATCTATAGAAGGCAAGAAAAAACAGCATTCACATSGTAACAAATGTTGACAATTACCTTATAATTATATGTAGGTAATGTCACTGAATGAACTGAAATTACTGTGGAAATTATGCTGCTCTGTTATTTCAGTCATAAATGAATAGCACTCGCATTCTGAGACTAAATATAATTTACAAGGAATAGAACCCCCCTGCCATTAATTAACATGTGTATATTGTTCCTGATTGTGTGTGAAATGATCTTTATAGCACCACTAGAAACACGAAAGATGCCTTTGAGTCTGCTCTAATGCTTTCCTGCTGCTACTTTTTTGATTAAAAAACCATCAAAGTGGGTGCAGTGGGAGAAGTTAGCTTTTGGTATCAGTGGCATCATTCAAAAGGGAAAAATRTACTGCTCATCTCTAGTCACATTTTCATTTTGTTCTGATAGGTTTAAGTGCAAGAGAGCTGCTAACTGCCCAGTGTGATGGAARTTGCAGCAAATGAACTGTGATCTGAGGCTGACCTTCCCATTCTGTTCTCTTTCCAGAACTGCAGCAGTGCAGGGCTGTTTTCATACACTTAACTTTTTTGGACAACCTTAAATCTTAACTGTTACTCTTACAAAGCTTAATTTTAATGGAACTTTTTGTATYTTTAGAAGAAGCATAATGGCCTTACCACTCAAAAATAAGCATTTCTAGCTACTAATTAAGCCTGGTAAATTAACTAGTAGAAAGTTTTGTTTTGTTTTAATGCAGACTTATTGCACTGCACRAAGATGGTTCTTCATGTTTTACCAGACATGCTTCCCAGCTACTTGGCATAGGCAGGCTCTGCTGGAACRTGTGTAGAGACTAGTCCACTTTATGATCCTCCTGTATTTCTGAACAGTGCTTTCAAAAGCTGTAAAACTCATCAGATACTCAGAGAAGCTGRGAAAGGCCCATTTTGGATATCACAAACCCTTATAAATTTTATGGTCTTGTTTCAAAGCATGGAAATACTAAATCTGAATTCTGGAATTAGCACTATTTTATCAAGGTCTTCCTGTCAGAAACAGCCACAGGTAGCCTCCTGCCATGGAAAATACCATTMCAGACCTCTGAGCTAGCCAGTTTGTAAGCCAGTAACAGCAGGATCTTAGGCTGGAAAATGCTAGGAACCTTTTCCCATTGATGTTGCTATCTGCCTAGAATTAAGTTAGACCATTTGGGGGTTGGTTGAAAATAGTTGAATTGGAGCACAGAAATCTTAGAATTGCAAATAGTGGTCTAGATTTGAGAAAAGACAGGCAAACTGGAGATTTTACAAGGAACAAGCCACAACACTTACCAATGTACTCGTCTTGATCCACAAAACCATCCCCATTTTTGTCTATGTCTTCTAAGGTTTCCTGGAAAACAATTTTGCATTGAGGAAGTTGAGAGAAGCGAGAACTCAGACTACTCTCCTCACTGATCCTTACTTGTTYGAGGCCTGTCTTGCCCTTGTACACGGAGAAACTTGCTCCTGTTAACTACAGGAATTCAAGGAATTGAATTCCTGAATACAGGAGTTCAAGGAATAGACAAATCTCCTGTCTTGCCGAAGAAATTCCCTGCACAGGGATGAACTGGAGAGCATGCCTGAGTTTTCATTTAGGACWGGTATCAGCTTCCTCAAACTTACATAAATGTTAGTACACCCTTCCTTTWAAGTGTAAGTTGAGGTCGGGACTCTTTCTGATTCCATTTAAGAGCCRCCTAAATGCACTGAACAAGTTAGTCTTGTGCTGGAAACACTAAACCAAGTGAATTTCATGAAAGTCGTCCCTTGCTGCTCCTCAGTTTGCCACTGGTGTGTGGGTGTGTGCGCACACTCCTGTCTCTAAACTCTGCATGGAAAGGTCAGAGAAGCATTTCAATACTCATCTGAAMAGGAAAAGCAGAAAGCGTGTCATTGTTTTGGTGTGCTTACCGAGACAACAATGTCTTTCATGTGCTCAAATTCCTCCGGGTGAAGAAAGGCAGTGAATTCTTCGCGAGTGGCAGCTAAGTCTCCATCCAGATCTGCAGTTTTAAATCGTCTTTCATCTCTGGGCAGCATTTTCTTAAAACTGTGCTGATCAGTTGCATCTTGGAATTCTTCTGGATTTTCTGCAGGTTAATCACACAATCTTAAAGCTGGTCCTTATAAAATATACTACCACAGTGAAGCCCCCTAGTTTGCTAACACTTACTTAGTAGGGTCTAGAAACACAAAAGCTTGCGGCCAGAACTGCTGCTCTGCTAAAATGGAACTTACCTTCCCTGTCAAGTTTTAAATCTGGGGTCAAGCAATTTATTCTGATTTTTAAGGTAGCTTAGGAGTATAGGTAAGTGGCCAAGTGAACTTGCTGTTGGAATCCAGGATGATGGATTTTGCAATATAATATATTACCTTTCATAGAGTTTTTAAAATCTGTTTTTGAAAGTCTGTTTAGGCACTATCTGAGATAGATTTTGTTCATAGGAGGGTTATCCTTCTTGGGAATCAGTATGCTCTATGCAAACTTTCAGTTTGAAAAGGCAAGCAAAGCAAAGGCTGCTTTTGGAAACGGGCACGCTGGCTGAAATTACCTAACCGCTCCACCTCTGTTACGGGGAACCTGACAATTATTTTTCAGCTTAAAACAGTAAGGTTTTTCTGGGTGTTCAGTGGCATGATATTATAGTGGATGATTTAAAAATTTGATATAATTTTTAAAATAGGATTTTAAAATATTCATATTATAACAATTTCTCTATTCCTATTTTAGGAGAGAGAGAGATTTGAAACAAACTAGTCTGGAAATCACTGGTGGGAATTTTAAGTTTGCATTAACCCAAGATGACAACGTGGTATCTCTTCTCCTAACCTTGTGGATTACACAGAGCAAAATCTGAAAAGGAGTCTTAAGGATACTGCTGCAGGTATGTGTGCCAAAAAAAAAAAACGTCTTTTCATAGATCTAATAAGCTCCCTTTTAATCTAATAGGACTTGTCCTTATTAGTGTCATTAGAAGCTGTCTTCAGAAGCTGTCCCTATGGTAGCTGGAAACGATCTTCCCRTTTACAGGATAAACTGAGTTGCACAAATACTAATTAATGGTGCTTTAAGTTATTTTTTTAACTAAAGTASTATTTTTAATGTTAAAAAGTAATCCCCTGTTTCTAAACTAGAGCAGGAGGCTTCAGTTCAGCTTTGTCAGTACATCTAATAACTCCTCTACAAAACTCTCTGTCCACAGGTGCCCTGTGTGGAAATGGCTGCAGTGAACAGCTGAARTGCTTTTGACCTCAGAGTATCTGTAATATTTAATGTGATTTTCCAAGTCCTAAATGTGACACTCAGCTCCTACTGACTATAAGGTATGATTTTGTGCCTTGTAACAACAGTATTCTTTCAGCATGTAATGTGAAAACGTTGCCGTACCTAGATAATAGCCATATGTGGCTTGCTTGTACTCCTCCCAGGCGATTTTATTGTCCTTGTTTAGATCATAATCTTTCCAAACTTTGGCCACGTTTTCATAGATGTAGCGTTTCTGTACTCGCTTAATCCAGTCTTTTAATTCCTCTGTTGTGAGATAGCCATCTTTGTTGTCATCTATCCTATCCACGATCTTCCTGTAAAAGGAGACAGGCAGCTGTAAGAGTTGACAAAAGCAAAGTGCATGCCAGGCCGCTTTTAGCCATCTTCGTGGGGGCCTCATTCTTGTCCCGCTGTTCTCCACAGAAATGCAGTGCCCAAAATCTAGAAAGCTGACATGCTGGCAAAGGCTTTCTTGTATTATGCAGATTACCTTCGGAGATATTTCTCCGTGCTTTATTTAATATTCCTGTGAATAACTAAAATGGAACTTCTTGCATGGCCAAAATAAGTGAGCGGAGCACCTCAGAGGGAGCACCGGAGACAGTGCGTGACACTGGATTTCTTAGGTCCTATCTACTAATGCAGGGGGAACCTGTTCGGTGCCCATAGGGAGCCCTCGTGCTGCGAGTCGGAGGCCAACCTCACCTCCGAGGAAAGCCAGCCCTGCGGCTCCCAGAGGCCCTCCGGGCAAAGCCGAGGATTTTGCAGGCTCCCACAGTCCRTGCTGTGGCCTTCCAGCCCTGGTGCCAGGCTACAGTGAGCCCTTCCCTGTAGCACAGAGGATGTGTGTGCCCGTGTGCAGCTCTCCTGCCAGTCCTTCCCTTCGCTGCTGTGTCTCTGCTGTCTTTCCCAGAGAAGCTATACTGCTTGCCTTGCCAGGAATGCCCCTTATTCACAAATTCAATAGCTCGACTGCAGCAGGCGTCCGGTCTCTGTTGGCAACTTGGACGTAGGCCAGTACCCTGTATAATGCTGCCCCKCCTCACGTCCTCCAGAAATCAGCAGCCCTTAAGATGTTAGGGGACCCCAAATTTTTGTCAAGTTCTGAATGCAGCTGCAGATAAAACTGGCTGGGAAAACTGCAAAAAGAGAGGCAAYTCTCCCTCATGTTTAGATTTTCTGTAATCTACAAAGCAATGCCTGTAGTTGTGAAATGCCAATAGTTTCAAGTTTRTAAAGCTGGCTTCTGTTGCAGCTACAGCAGCAGCCCCGCTGATAAAAGCCTTTATCTAAAATAAGGGTGCAATTTGAATCCCACARCTCGTAGGTAAACTTGTCTTTGTAGTATTGTATTTTGGGCACTGGCCTGTGGGAAACTATGCGCCCTGCTCTTGGGACAGGGTAATTAGCACAACTCTGTKCTCAACCACCCTGGCTTCAGTTACAGGAACAGTTTTAACCCTTGAATCACTGCTCACGGGGCAGCAAGAGCACCTGGCTGCTCAGTGACTACCAGTGGCCACCGCAAGGTACTGAGTGGCTCATGCACCAGCCCCGTGGTCCAGCACGGACCCCATCACTTGTAAGGTGGTGCAAGAACAGCAGTTGCTTGTCTAGACCCTGACTTGGTAATGGACAGGTGAGCTGGCCTAACCTTCCAGGCAGCCAAAAGCTATAATGAAATCTCTCAACTGTTTCATGCAATTCAACATCTTGGTTTGCCACAAAGAAGTGAATGTTGGATGGTGGAACGGCTCAACCGGTAAAGCAGTGTCCCTTCCTGAGCCTCGGTTTGGAGAGCAGTAAGTCCAGAGGCAACCTGCTGCATTTCCAGTCATGTGTCAGTCCAATGAGGCCAGATGTGTAGCATATGCTCTTTACTGAAAATCAGAGCTAAATGGAGTGGTGTTTCAGATCTGGCTGCGGAATTAGTAATGAAGGTATTTTTGAGCCAGGGACAAAAACCAAAAAGTTACTGAAAGTTACTGAATCCCCCGTTTGAGGTAGGAAACTGCAAGCTAACTGACTGGAAAACTCTTTTGTTTAAGTCTCAAGGGAACTTGACCACCAGAGTCCCTTTCATTGCACAATGGACTGTATTTATCAATGGATTTGCCCTGCAGTGAATTTGCCTTAATTGGTTTAGCTGCTCTTTCCTTTTATTGCTAAATGTAGTAAGTTAAATGCACTAGATGATCCTGCCAATGCYAATGGGAGGCGAGCAGATGTGCTGCAGGCAGCGCGTCCGCTCCRCCTCGGGCCTCGTCCTGCCAACCCTGTCCCACCTTCCTGCTTGCACTGCACCCAGGCACTGCTGCAAAGTGGCTGTGGGAGGAAGGCTTCCCCTCTGTGCTTGATGTCTGAGGACACAACAGTGTGTAGCTAAACCCTGACCTTTCTCTTTATAAATAACGCATATTTATAGCATGACACTTTGTAATCGTCCTTTATGTTCTCAGGAGCYCACAGGCCTGCTGCAAGCGATGGGGAGAACTTCACAGGACTGCAGCCCTGCTCTCCTCCTTGCCGGCTGTCCCTGTGCCCTCACGCAACCACGGGATGCTGCGCCGGGGCCACCTCCAACTTGTGCAAAGCCAGGTGAGCTTGGTGCAGCGTGGAGCTTGCAAATACAGGGGCGTCTCCCCTCACCAAGTGATCCAGCGTGGGAGGAGCGGGATGTTACTGCCATGGCACGATACAACTCCAGGCTGGTAAGCGCTGCCCCCTCAAGTTGGATCGTACCTGGGTTGAGTTTGTAGGGCTTTTCTGTGGCTGTTTGCCTTTCGTTTGCTGGAGGGAGATGAGAGTAGCTGTGCATTACTGCTGCCCAGCCCTGGGACGGCGCAGCATGACTGATCCCACACGACTGATGTGCTGTCACGCTTCCTAAGCACGTTAAAGTGACTTGGAAAAGCAGCAGCATGCTCTGCGGTTAGAACAGCAGGAGTATCTGCCAGAAAGTGCTCAAAAATAACTTTTCATTAAACCTGATCTTCTAAGAGCCACTCATGCTAGTAAGTGACACAATTTGTAACCCTCACTGCAGAGAGGTCCCTGTAACAAAACTGTTTTCCACCTTCTTACCGTGTCTGATTATTAAACTGCAATAAAAATRAAGTGAAATGTTTTAAAATCCACTCTACCTCCTGGTACAGTATGTGAAATCAGAAAGTTTGGAGATGCTGGAAGCTATGAAGTGCCCTCCAGGCACAACAGAGCCACCAGGGAGCTGCATCCTGCTCTGCGCCCATCCTACAGCGTCCGCTTTGGGCCCTCTCTACGGGGAGACCTTAGCTGAGATCACCAAAACATTTCCCCCTTAGTGAGTTATTGTGTGTAAAATCTGTTCAAAACAGAAAAAAACTCCTTGGCTAAGTCATATCCCCAAGTGAAATACCTTCCACGTGTAAGTTTAAAAGCCGAGCTGGCATAGAGGTGAGCTGGGTTGGGCATGCCAATGTGATTAACAAACTTCATGAGCATCCAAGGCAGGTGATACATGTTGAAAACATGATTTTTACTCCTGCTTTGAAATAGGGCTGAATTGCTCCTTTCTGACACCACTTTTATCTGTTTGCCTGCTGAGCTACAGGTAAATGACAGTGACAGCTTCCAGAAGGAGCAAGAGGTCAGTCCTGCGAGGAGCCTTGATGCTGCCCTAGGAGCTTACAGGGGAGCCAGGTGGGTCCTGGGCCGAGTAAGTAGCCCTCCCTGGGGACAGAAGAGCAAAGCGGAGCTTACTGAGAGCGTGCAGACTGGCACCGCTTTACCTAAGAGTCTGTTCTTTGATTGCTGCTAAGCCTAGGTCTGTGTAGCAGTATTAACTCTGGAAAAGAAGGTGCAAGGGAGGGTGAAGCGGCCGAGCCCGGCGCCCCGTTGGGCGGGAGCGGGCGGGGCGGCCGCGGAGGGGCCCCGGCCGCGCCACGTCGGCGGCGCTTACCCGAGGCGCTGCCGGCTCTCCTCGGCGCTCAGCTGGTCGAAGGTGCGCGCCTCCTCCTTGCCCAGGAAGGCCTCGTGGTCGTACTGGAAGCCGGGCCGGTCCTCGTGCTGCTGCGGCCGCGCCCGCTCCTGCCGCACGGTCGGTTTGCCGCGCGCGCCCGCGCTCAGC